GCTCCCCCTCCCCCCCCCCGCCCGGGCCCGGTGCTGTGGGGGGGGGGTGGGTGGTTGCACGGTCCCCAGCGCTGCCCCGCGGGTAGAGCTGTGTTTTCCAGATGTGCTCCAAAGGACAAAATCCCACAGTCCCTTCTTGGGGCTTGGTTGGCCCCTGCTCAGCCTGCCTCCCAGCTGGGAGAAGGCTGAGTCAGGGCTGTGGGAGTTTTGCTTTAAGTTATCCCTCACTCTCAAAAAAAAAGAGAAAAAAAAAAAAACAAACAAAAAAAAGTAAAGCTCTTTATTCAGGTTGATTTTTTATTTGTTTACCTCGATGTTAGCTATGACCTGTGTTTTTTGGACCCGTCTGGAATTGAAGGTTGCTGGTAGGTTTGGTTCACATCCTCTCAGGTGCTTAAGTGATTTTGTTGGTGACAGCAGAGAGTGGGAACGTGACCGACGTCACCTGTGTTGGGTTGGGCTCCAGTGTTGGTGTCGACTTACTAGTCACTAATATTCCAAGGTTTTATGGTACACAAGCACCTATATACTATATCTCTCTCTATATATAGATATACAGATATATGTGTTTTTAATATACATGCATATGTATGTATGTGTATGTCTATCAATAAATATAGATACAGGCCACACAATTCCAGACCTCGGAAAACACAGGCAGCTTTAATAAGGTCTTGCACTTTTAGCATATTTGTACATATAAGCTAAAGCCTGGTGGGTATAATCAGGCTGGTTTGACAAACACAGTGAAAAGTTACTGTATATGTTGTATATATTCCATGTTGAAAAAAAAGACCCAAAAAACTTAGCATTGAGTATAAATCTTTGTTTATTTTATATGATGTTAAATATAGATACATTTATAAATGTTACTATTCTTAAAAGTATTTTGTAATGGAAAAAGGAAGTGTCTTATGAAGATGAACAGTAAAGATTTTATTCTTGTCTTGAATCTATATGTCCCTGCACTGTTCCACTGAATGGGAGTCTGTGCATTTTGAAAAGCTTTAAACAGATTGTACATAGTATTTTAAAACAAACAAAAAAGAAATAAAAAGAACACTTGTAAGACCTCTTACACAACATAAGCTGCTTTTATTCCCTGGGTGATATGTGTCCACTGGGAATCAAAATCTGCTCCAAGAGCAGCAGCTGTCAGGTGTCGATGTGTATGAGCAGCTGAAGGGATGGGGCCCAAGAAGGCAACTGGCATTTCCATGACCAATCCCAGAAGCAGTGGGGGCAATGCATGAATCAGAAAGGAGAAGACATCAGGTCAGTGTAGATGTGTCTGCACACTGTGTATGTTTTATTTGGGATGTTATTCTTCCTGGGCTAACTTGCTCAGGCTGCAGGCAAAGCTAAACTGGTCCCAGGCTTCAAAATCTGGGTCTCCTCTTCCATTTTTTTCCCTCTGCTTCTGAGGCACTTGGTTTTTTTGGCTTGGGCCTCCCTTTGGAAAGCACTGATGAAACATGGCTTTAGCATGATTGATGCCCATGAAGGAAAGTCTGAAATAGTCCATCAAGAGAAATAATAGTGCCTCAAACACAGATTATTTGTTTTTTCCCTAAGCGAAACAAATTTTTATTCAACACCCTGTTTGTCTTACAGTAGTTCTGTATACAACACATTGTAGAAAAAGCCAACCTGCCAACACAAACGTGTTGCCTTCTTGGTAAAGTGACAAAGCTGTAGCAAAAAAGAGAAACCAGCCTACTTTTCTGGAAACAAACTGGAATATTTCTTTGTGTTTTAGTCTGGATAACAACTGTAATCTCAATCAAGAGCCTTGTATGGTACAACTGTATGAGAAACTTCCGGTAAAATCAACACACAGCTGTTTCTTAGTCACTCTGGTAGCAAACTCTTCTAAAAAAGATGTTGTTATCTAACCAGTAGCTTGATGAACAAGTAGCTTGTTTTAGGAATGAGAGTGCTTTTTCTGAATCACATGGCAGGGCCCATTTCCATGTCCTGGGAAATGCTTCCAGTTCAATTACAAGCAGTTCTCCCTCATCATGGAACAGGTCTGTATTTTTATTACTATTAGCTGAGCACTTCCCTCGCCTGGGGTGTCCAAGCCCTGAACTGGGCACACAAAGATGTCCAGCATCCAGACCCTCATGGTGGTCAGAGCTGCCACTGTTCACCTGGAGCACAGGGACTGGTGACAGGCTCCAGGAGCAGCACACAAGACTGAGGGACCATGGCAGCTCTGCTGGCCACCCCCCAAGGCTAGTGATTATAAAGGCATTGAGACTTCAGGGCTGTGCAGTAACAGCCCCTGAGAATGTCTCAGGGTAAATAAGCAGGGCATAAGTGCCAACTCACACTGGTGACACTGCAGCAGGTAGTGCAATTTGAAAAATTAATTACCAGCATCTCTAGTTGTAGCAAGCTATATCCTACCCACAACTGTCTATTCTTTACTGAATAATGCACATTCATTTTATTTCCTACAACTGAACAAAAAATGGAGAGACTGGTACCTTCATGAAACTTTTTACAGGAAAACAAACAAAAAAAAAAAGCAACAACCACCACACAGAAATGTGAAATGACACCTCAGTTCTCACTCATTTAACCACATTGCTTCCTGTTCGT